ATAGAGAATAATTTAGCTATTAATGAAACGAAACAAACAAAAAACTATTAGAGAAGACAATTAAAATAGAAAAACAGAGAGTCAGCAATGTTCTGTTGCCACTGAATTCACCTCTGGAGCCAGTGAAAGGTGTGCCTGGATGTAAGCTGCCCATGGAGTGTCCTTCACTGGTGATGACGTTTATCGACCTCTTCAGATAAATCTGCTGGGCGTCTCAGTGGGAGACCTTCAAGGCCGTTAAAAGATAAGTTTTTCTAAAGACACATCCTAACTCTCTTAATAACAAAGTGAATGCATTACTTAACTCATTAATTAGTGATGGAACCAGAAAGCTGTTTTGTCCTGTTCAGAGGAGAATCCACAGAGCAGACGCATTGATGGACCACAGGAGTTCTGAAATAGCCTTGTTAACACATCCAGAGCTGGCTTTTTTCCCCAAAAGTCAGTTAAACTTCCTTGGGACAGACTTTGCATTTCTATAGATAAGAATTATTTGCATTACTTTCAGTTTTCTACAATAAACAGAGTTGTAAAGTAGCTCAAAAACAACGAAAGGCATAAACCCCATAGAATCAGGTGACCCTGAAGGGTAAGTGTGACAAACAGTGCAGTTTTCCACTGAAGACACCCAACAATCTTTTGTTCCATTTAAAAGTATTTCTCATTTTTTTCCTCCAGCCTTGCTTCTACAACCAACTCTCTTTCTTTTTTTTTTCTTTCTTTCTCTTTTTTTTTTTCTGACCGTGCCACTAGGCTTGTGGGATTCCAGTTCCCCAACCAGGGATCAAACCCGGGCCCTTGGCAGTGAGTGTGTGGAGTCCCAACCACTAGACTGCCAGGGAATTCCCAACTCTTTCTTATATTGACTTTATCATATATCTATCCATTTCTCCATCAACCATCTTATTTTATTGTTCATTTCTAATATCAGTCAGTACATGTCATTTTTTAAGGAGCTTCCTTGATTAATCAAGAGAATTATACTGGATATACTTTCCAGTTTCTAATTTATAAGATCAGATAAGGGGCTTCCCTGGTGGCATAGTGGTTAAGAATCCGCCTGCCAATGCAGGGGACATGGGCTTGAGCCCTGGTCCGGGAAGATCCCACATGCCGCAGAGCAACTAAGTCCGTGCGTCACAACTACTGAGCCTGCACTCTAGAGCCCACGAGACACAACTACTGAGCCCGTGTGCCACAACTACTGAAGCCTGCGCGTCTAGAGCCCATGCTCCGCGAGAAGAGAAGCCACCGCGATGAGAAGCCGACGCACTGCAACGAAGAGTAGCCCCCGCTCGTCACAGCTAGAGAAAGCCCACGTGCTGTGCAGCACCAAAGACCCAACGCAGCCAAAAATAAATAAATAAAATAAATAAATTTAAAAAATAAGATCAGATAAGCAGATACATTTACTCTTGTAAAGGGCCTTGTACTCAGAGTGAGATGTGACGCCATTGGAGTGAAATGATCTAATTTAAGTCTAAATAGTACGACTCTGGCTTCTATGTTGAGTATTGAAATTGGAGGCTCAGGATTTTAGCAAGGAGATGATCTAAGGGGCTTTGACAGTAACATCACTTCATCCGTGTGAGACATGGGATGTTAGGGGTGGAGGTGATGAGAAGGGGTCAGACTTTGGATACATTTGGAAGGTTGAGTTGATAGGATGTGTCAATGGATTGTACACGAAATTAATAAACAGAAACCCCATGACGCCCTGCAGTGATAGCAGAGCCCAGCAGGAAGAAGAGGGACTCCTTTTCTTTCCTGGCAGGGACTCAGCCAGGGACAAGCCATGGACTCTGTTGAGATAGCCCTCCCAATTCCGCTTTCCCTCTATAAAAGCCATTCTCCCTTGTTTGCCCCGAGGGGACTTGCACGTGACCCGCTGTGGTTGCCCACGTGGAATTGCAATTTTCTGCTGATCCTGAATAAACCCCTCTTTGCTGGAGAAATATCTGGCAGCCTTCTTGTTTCAGGTCACAGTTGGATGTGTGGGGCATGAGAAAAAATTAGAGAGTCAAAAATGATGAAAATGCTTTTGACCTGAGCAAGTACAGAATTGCCATTAACAAATGAAGCTGTGGAAGAAATAGGTTTGGGAGAGAAGATCAGTAGTTTAGTTGTTTTCTTTTATCATGGTAAAATATATGTAAGAAAAATTTGCCATTTTAACCATGTTCAAGTGTTCAGTTTTGTGGCAGTGTTCAACAACTATCGCTGCTATTTCCAAAACATTTTCCTCAATCCAAACTAAAACTCTGTACTCATTAAGCAATAACTCCGGGTTCCCACCCCACCCCCAGACCCTGGTCGCTTCTGATCTACTTCCTGTCTCCATGAACTTACTTATTCTAGATATTTTAGAAGTAGAATTACACAATATTTGTCCTTTTATGTCTGGCTTTTTTCTCTTAGGCGTAATGTTTTCAAGCGTCATCCATGTTGTATATATCAGAACTTCATTCGTTTTTATGGCTGAGTAATATTTCATTGTATGTATGTGCCAAATTTAGTTTATCCGTTTACCTCTTGATGGACACTTGGGTTGTTTTCACCTTTTAGCTCCTGTGAGTAATGCTCTTGTGAAAATTCACGTACCAGTATATGAGTCCTTGTTTTCAATTCTTTTTGATGTATTCCAGGAGTAAATTTGCTGGTCGTATCGTAATTCTGTGTTTAACTTTTTGAGGAACCACCAAATGTTTTCTACAGTGGCTGCGTCATTTTATATTCCAGCCTGCAGCTTATGAGGCTTCCAGCTTCACACCATCATCAACACTTGTTGTTTTGGGAGGCTTTCTTTTTTGGTTGTTGTTTTTGTTGTTGGAACCATCCTGGTAGCTAGAAAGTGGTATCCCATTAGGTTTAGGTTTGAATTTCCCTAATGACTACTGGTTTTCATGTGCTGTGGGCCATTTGCTTATCTTCTTTGGAGAAATGTCTATTCAAGTTAAATTTGTATATAGTGTAAGGCAAAGATCCAGTTTTATTCTTTTGTATGTGGATATCTAGTTCTCTCAGCATCATTTGTCAAAGAGACTATTCTTTATCCATTAATAGTCTTGGCAACCTTGTAAAAAATCAGTTGACCATGGATGTGAGGGTTTATTTCCAGAGTTTCAATTCTGTTTTCATTTCTATCCTTATGACAGTACCATACACTTTGAATACTGTAGTTTTGTCGTAAGTTTTGTTTGTATGGATTGATTGATTTTTATTTATTTTTGGCTGCGTTGGGTCTTCGTTGCTGCGTGCAGGCTCTCTCTATTTGCGGCGAGTGGGGGCTACTCTTCGTTGCGGTATGTGGGCTTCTTATTGCGGTGGCTCCTCTTGTTGCGGAGCACGGGCTGTAGGCGTGTGGGCTCAGTAGTTGTGGCTCGTGGGCTCTAGAGCGCAGGCTCAGTGGTTGTGGCACACAGGCTTAGTTGCTCTGCGGCATGTGGGATCTTTCCCCACCAGGGCTGGAACTCGCGTCCCCTGCACTGGCAGGAGGATTCTTAAGCACTGTGCCACCAGGGAAGTCCCTGTAAGTAAGTTTTGAAATTAGAAAGTGTGAGACCTCCATCTTTGTGGTTCCCTTTCAAGATTGTTTTGACTACTTGGGTTTCCTTGGAATTCCATGTGAATTTTAGGATGGATTTTTCCATTTCTACAAAAATTACCATTGGAATTTTTATAGAGATTATATTGAATCTGCTTTGGCAAGTATTGTCATCTAAATAATATTAAGTCTTCCAATTCATGAACACAGGCTGTCTTTCCATTTATTTAGGTCATCTTTAATTTTTTCAGCAATTTTCAAAAAAATTTTCAGTGTACAAGGCTTGCATCTTCTTTATTAAATTATTCCTACCTCTGGTCACAGACGAGAAGATCTTACATTTTATTCCTAAGTATTTTATTCTTTTTGATGCTATACAAATGGAATTGGTTTCTTAGTTTCCTTTTCAGATTTGTCATGACTAATTATAGAAATACAACTAAGTTTTGTGCCTTTTTTTTGTTTCCTGCAACTTTCCTAAATTCATTCGTTCTAACAGTTTTTCTGGATTTCTTCCTCCACGCTCCCTCAATACACCCATGGGGCTCACAGGCCCTTCAGTCCCACGTGTCCCCAGGTCCTCTGGGTCTCTTTGGTTCCTCTTCATTCATGCACAGGACCATTCAGGGCACCGACGCGTGTGCCGTGGTGGGTTCGTGGTTATACCAAGCAGCTGGATGCATTCGAAGTACATCGTATGAGCTGAAAGAGTGTATGAATAATGTGTGTTCACATTTGTTTTTTAAATAAACAACATTTGGCTTAATATATACCAAATTATTGATATTAAATGATTGTCATTTCTGGCTGGTGGAACTAGGGGGGAATTTATATATCTAATTACATATTTTTAAAGCATTTAATTCTTTGCCATCAGCATGCATTTCTTATATAAGTAAAAAGTACGTTTAAACTTTTATTTTTAAAAATTTACATTTCCAGTTAATAGGAGATGCCAACACATAAATAAGCAGTCCCATTATCTGTGCTTTTGTGTGGAAGGAGTTAAAGAATTTGCTTGACTCAGGTACACACGTTACTGTGTACCTATGTCCAAGACAAGAAAATGGTTGCCTAGAAGCCTCAGGAAAAATGGTTTCTAAGCCTGCAAGAAAAATGCCTTTCTTACCCTCTCCTTCCTTGGAAGTTTATTCACAGTTGGGCACTTTGGGAGGTCTGCTAGCCAACTGGTAGAACGAACTTCAGGAGGGAAACTCTTTTTCTCTTCCACCTCACGTCCTGGATTATTTTGGGTTGGTTTGGGGATAGTGTCTGAGTTTCTATCTCTTGGGCTATTTTTTTTCCAGGAATATAAAGTTTTTTTCCTTTGATATATGCTTAAATGTTTACTTTTAAGTGATGTAACTTTTCAGAAAACATATTAAAGTTTATTTCTGTGGGAAAAATATTTTTTATATTTTTGACTGTTTTTTGTTCCTTCTCTTTTGACATCTCTAGCCAACAAGAACATTAGTCATGACAAGCATGCCATCTGAGTAAGTACTCATTGTTTTGATAACTTTCTACTCAATATAAAATTTTAGAGTTTTTGTTCATATACTGTGCTGCTGTGCTCTTGGGCAGCTCATACCTCTGTGCTGTATTGCTGTTACTCTATATAATTAGTATTGGAGTTAGAAGATCACTGGAAATAAAAGAGTTAAATGACTGTGAACAGTTCAGCACTGAAGACCTCTTGAGTGGTTTGGACAGCATTTAGAGGCGTTATAGTATTTGCTGTTCCTCTTGTTGTCTCGTACCTATTGTCTCTGCCTGTCCACCATCCCCACCCCATGAAGGCCCCGTAAGTGGAGCCTCACTGGTGGAAGCATTTCCCTTAAAGGTCTTAAAGAAACGCTTTGGTGGTAAGCTTTCTGCCGCTGCGTTAAAGCAGCTGTGTGCACATCTTGTGGGAGCGTTCACAGCTTGCTGGCGTGCTCTTATCACCATCCTTAAACTTTTAGCACGATATAGCACATCCAACAAAAATACAGTGCCATATTCTTTGCAACAGATTTTTGAATTCTTGTTCAAATGGGAAAACTGTGTTTTTTATATCTATCTGAGGTTTTAGGGCTTTAAGACATTTATCAAAACATTGGGGCATCTCAGTGAAAAACAGGCTGCAAAAAGAGTGCATGCTTCCAACACTTTCTGTAGTGGGATCCCTTTCCACCTGTGGCATGAAGTTAAAAGGGCTGGTTGTTCAAACCACATTATCTGGTGAAGAAGGAGCACACTCACAATTTCTGTTAATGTCTTGTGAAATATATTGGTCATCCTAACTAGTCCAGTACAGAAATGAATATTGAATACAGGTCTAGCTTTTTTTTTTTTTTTTTTTTTTGCGGTACGCGGGCCTCTCACTGCTGTGGCCTCTCCCGTTGCGGAGCACAGGCTCCGGATGCACAGGCTCAGTGGCCATGGCTCACGGGCCCAGCCGCTCCGTGGCATGTGGGATCTTCCCGGACCGGGGCATGAACCCCGGTGTCCCCTGCATCGGCAGGCAGAGTCTCAACCACTGCGCCACCAGGGAAGCCCTGGGTCTAGCATTTTTAAAAGTCTATATTTTTGCCCCAAATTAAAAACAGTGATAACTAGTTATTTTCCCAGTTGAAGGTTTGAAAATCAAACTCTTCATTTAGGCCATCTCCTCTTTTTTATTCTTTCTTGCCCCACATATACTTCTTGTCTGAAGGTAAGAACAAGACCTAGACATGTTCTGAGGCCATATTGATTAGCCGTGTCTTGAAAAGATCCTTGTTACTGATTAGCACATCTACAAACAGCCAGCAGCTCCCAGACTTGGAATGAGAAAATCATAGATGTGCAGCAACGAGCGAGGTTTCTGAAGAGCATCTGGGTTAGAGGTTTTCACTTCTTTTTGTTTTTTTCTTTGCCTTTTGTCCCCCCAGTTTAATATTTTCCACAACCCCAATAAGCACAGATCCTCTGGTTGAAGTGGTGATGGGACCCAGCCTTGACCCATCCATCTTCTGTACCCTGGGGATCCCTGAGAACTTCTCACCAGAGTAGAGGTCAAGCCTTTCATTTCACAAGTGGAGAAACGGGTCCTTGTGATTGGCAAACCCAAGTTCATTGGTGTTAAAAATAAGAAACGCCGGGGGATGGGGGATTGTCAGAGACAGTCTGCACAAGCATGGACAAACCTGCCTCCTTCCCTTTGGAGTATAATTTTTGGAGAAGAGAGAAGTTTATTTCTTAACTCGCTGTGCACGTCATAGTGTGGCTCAGAAAGCCTACATATTGTTTGTGTTTCATCGGGGATTTCCAAAACTTGCCTGGAGACCGAGGGAGAGGAAAAGTAGAGGGTTGTTTGGGAAGGAAGTTAGAGAGGAAGAATATTTAAAGAGAAAAAAAACGTTCTTAAGGCATTAGTGGAATGAAAGACCAGAAGATAAACACGGGTGAGCTTTGTGAAATTTGCCCTGAGATTTGATCCGATGACTTAATAAAAAGGACCCCTTTTTCCCCCTCTTAGTAGAAAAGCGATGTGTTTGACTCTCGGCAAATGTTATATTTTCGAAATAAAATGAGTGGGAAGCTTGGTCCTGACCATGCACAAATTGGTTCAAACGGGACACAGAAGTAAATAATTGCTGTGGTGTCTGGGCAGGTGTCAGGAGGTCTGGTGTGGGACACTGGCCTGCCCCACCCCAGGCACTTGGGGAAACCCCTGGTAGCCTTGGGGCCACCGTTTTCTCAGCCATTAGAATAGGTGGTTGGAGTTGAGATCTGAAATTTTTTATTTCCCCACATTTCAAGTCATCGACGGCAAAGAAATTGACATGAGCACCATAGCCGACATCAATGTAGAATTCTTCCGGTTTTTTACATTTTAATTCATTGCCATCACCTCGATGTTTCTGCTCAGGAAGCACATCCATTGCGTTGGTTTTTCTTCCTATTTGGCAGAAAGCAGAACGTGGTCAACCAGGTTGTGGATAAACTGAAGGGCTTCTCCTTGGCCGGGGAGGCGTGTGGCTGCCCCACGCACGTGCTCGCCAGGAAGCCCCGCCGCACCCAGAACGTGCTGCGGGACATCGCAAGCGGCTGCTGGATTCTCTCCTTCGAATGGGTAAGCCGCTGCGTCAGCGAAGTACGCTTTTGGGTTAGTGTCTTGAAACAGGGCGTCCCATGGCTTTGGTCAGGCCGAGTGGTGGCCCTGCATCTGTGTTATCACGCCTTCTGTCCTCCTGCTCTGGCCCCTCTGGCTCTCCTCACCTCCAGCCACTGCTGGTCCCCAGGAGGACGGGCAGGTAGCCTTCCAGATATAGACCTGGCAGCCACGGGCAGAAATAAGATAGGGCAGACTTGGCCTGAAAACGCCCAGTGCGTGTTCTCACAGTCAAATGCACTTTCTTCCGTTTTTGACCAAGAAATAATGTGACCTATGTTAATGATGGTTTAAAAAGCCAAAAGAATTCAATGATTGTTTTCACAGATGGATTTACTTAGGGTGAAACATGTTCATTTAATCCTGTTTGGATATGTTTTATCTTATGCATATCTGTCTTTAACATTACTTGCCCTTATTTCTCTGCATTAAATGTAGGGTTTTGGGGTTTTGGGTTTTTTTTTTTTTTTTTTTTTTGTGGTACGTGGGCCTCTCACCGCTGCAGCCTCTCCCGTTGCGGAGCACAGGCTCCGGACGCGCAGGCTCAGCGGCCATGGCTCACGGGCCCAGCCGCTCCACAGCATGTGGGATCTTCCCGGACCGGGGCACGAACCCGTGTTCCCTGCATCGGCAGGCAGACTCTCAACCACTGTGCCACCAGGGAAGCCCTGTGGGGGGTGTGGGGGGGTAATCATTGTTTTCATTATTCTTGAAATTGAAATTGTTTGTTACTCTTTCTGTTTTTACTTTGATACCCAACCTGTGGTCACTCCAAAGCGTTGCTGTCTGAGGGTAGCATCATTTGTTACTTGTGTTTCCATTTTGCATCTGCTAAGTACCCACCCTCCCTTCTTCTTCCCCTAAGCATGGTGTTATATTAATACTGTGTTAATTTAAACTGGTAGAATTATAATACACAAACAAACTGTAGATATATTTTCAAGAACAGCGGTGGTCTTTTTCCCTTATCATGATTTAACCCTGCATCGGTCAGTACAAGAGGTTTAGGACATTAGTGCTTAGAGTCATGAAGTGGAGAAGGCTGCAGTTCCCCCCAGAAGTCCTATTTGCATTGGCGGCAATTGGGAATTACCTTACCTAATTGAGTCTGAGTACCGATCCACATTTATTTGTATGAACTGTCATTAATAACTCCAGCTTCCGTGAATAAGTATCCTGTTTGCTTTCTCTCCAGTTCACAGTGTCTCTGTCTGTTTATCAGTCACCTCTTCCTTCCCTGGTGTCTCAGAGGGAGAGATGTTCTTTATATTTTATGAGGCCAGGCAGCTGTACTTGATTCTGTGCCCAGCCTGTTCTCCTGGAATGTAGAGCCAGCAGGGAGGTCAGACATGAGGGCCAGCGTTTACTGCTGCCAGGCGTGGAGGCCGCTGCCTGGGTGCCCCCTGTGTTTCTGCTCCGTGTCCTGCCAATGTTCTCCCACTAATCACACATAGAAATGGAGCCAGGTGCACATTTAACTTCTGGTAACCATATGTGGAATTAACCACTCTCTGTGGGGTTAACCACTATCTGTGAGCAAAGCAGGAAGTAAAACATGTTATTTGATAAAATTCCAGTGCTCAGACAAGACTCCCCGCCTGGGCCTTCCTGCCCTGAGGGAGGAGCCTTGCCCACATGACGTAAGTGAATGGATTAAGTGCAATAAGGCAAGAAAACGAAATAAAAGGCATTTAGGTTAGAGGGGAAGAGGTGAGACTACCTCTTTCTTAGACAGTGTGATTGCTTATGTAGACAGTTGCAAGAAATCTATACCAAAAAGCTCTCAGAACTAATAAGTGAGTTCAGCAAATTGTCAGGAAACAAGGATACAGTAATACAAGGTCAACAATGAGGTATTTATGTACAAATCTAACATCAAAAGATGTGCAGGATCTGTGTGCTGGAAACAACAAAACACTGATTTCAAACAACAGAGAGACATACCGTGCGCATGGATTGGAAGACTCGGTATGGTTAAAATGCCATTCCTCCCCAAAATGATTTGCAGGTTTAACACATACCCACTCACACTCACAGGAGAATTCTTTGATGATATAGACAAGCTGACTCTAAGATGTGTATATGGAGAAAAAGGAACAGACTAGATGAAACAGTTTTGAAAGAGAAGGACAGAGCTGGAGGCATATGCCCCCTGCCCCTGGCTTCCAGGGACAGGAGCTGCCTCCCCTCGTCTGGAAGGTGACGGAGTTGGGAGTGATGACCCCTTCTGGAAGGGGACCCTGTCCCCTTGCAGAGCCTTCAGCCAGCCTGACCAGCCAGAGAGAAGAGTTTCAGACTAGAGAGCCCAGCTGAACGGGGTTGGGGAGAGGCTCTGACTAGCAGGGTTGACTGGTCTTTGTGTGGAACGCAGGAAACCCCATCCACCCCTCTACCCAGGTGTCCCCCCACCCTTGTTCCTTGTGCCCATCCTTTCCTAGTGGCCTCTCCAGGTGACACCCTAAAGTAAGCTCCTCTTCAGGGAGAAGGTCACACGGAGGCTCCCATCTGAGCAGTCATCCCCCGCTCTTGTCTTTCCCGGTATTTATTTCCTCAGCCTGGCCCAGACTCTGGATTCAGGGATACTCACCTCTGCATGGGACCCTCAGACCCACCCGCATCTCCACTTCTCCACCCGAGGTGCGGAGTCACAGAGCTGGGCCTGCCCGAGGGAATCAGAGCCTCCTGTGCAGACTCAGAGCCTGGGCACTCCTCCGGCAGCAGTGGGAACAAAGCAGCTTTCGCAGAAGCTGCTGCCCTCCCTACCTCTGACCTTGGCCCGGGGAGCTGGGGAGGGGCTGGTGGCAGCGCAGCCTCTGCATTGACCTCCCACCAGGCAAAGATGGTCCCGGGCTCCCCACGCACACCCGCTAGAGCAGGTCGCAGGCCCCGTGGCGTCCCGGCGGCCCCTGCTCTTTCTTCCCTCACTTTACTTTGCAGAACAGTGTGTGAGACTCAGCTCAGGAGATTCTCCCGTCCATCATCCAGGAGAGGTGGGCTGTGGGACGTGACCCCCTCTGGGGCATCAGGCGGTGTAAACCTGCCACCCCCAGCTCCTGACCCAGTCTCACTCCTGCGCTCTGGTGTGCTTGGGCCTTGGCCCAGGCTCCCGGCCTGAGATGGTGACTAAGTTCAGGGGCTGCAGGAAGCTGTTTGCTCTGTTTGGGGGCAGCAGGTGTGTAGGGAGCCGGGTCCTAGTCTCCATTTATGAGAAACAGAGAGATTTAGGGGCCCGCAGGTCACTGTACCCACGCTTCTGCAGGCTAAGCTGGATGTGTGCGGGACTGCGGTCCAGGGGGTGGACGGTCTGAGTCCACTCGCAGGCTGCAAAGGTCGCTCTGTCCCTGGACCTCGCTCTGTCCTTTCTCCCCCTCCTGGCTTCACTGGCCGCAGGGTCTCCCTGCAGCTCTGCCATCCTCACCCGTCCTGGGGCAGAAATGAGGAGTAGCAGCCTGGGGGCACAGCGGCAAGCGGAAGGCCCGGGAAGGACCAGGCCTGGAGAGCACAGGCCTGCCTGGGCATCCTGCAGAGGGGCCCACAGAGACCAAGAGCGCCCCAGGAGGAGGGTGACAGCCACTGCCATCCAGGGCAAGCATCTAGCCATCTACTCGCCTCTCCGATTGTCTCCAGTCTTCCCACTCGGCCCAGAGATGGGGCCACGTGAAGGTGTCCTTGGCTTCATCCTGCTTCCGCTTCCCCACCCTGGGATTTTTATACACACAGCCTCAAGGAACAGGAGCCGGCGGTGAGAGGACCTACCTGCCGACTCATAACCGACGTCCAGACGGATAGAACCACGGGGAGAAATGTGTGCTTCATTAGTAACTAACGAAAGGAGAGCACTTTTCCCGCAGCAAACCGCAACAGGAAAATAAGACGCAGTTATCGGCAAAGTAGTACTAAAATAACACCCCGCACATTGCATATGGGGTACCAGGTGGTCCAGGCTTCCTGATGTCAGTTTGGAGATAGTGGCAAACATCCTAAAAGTTTCCATGGCCTTTGACTTCATAATTCTACATTCAGTCATTTATCTTAACAAGATCATTAAAGATTTGCTTATAGGATGTTCATCCCAGCATTGCAATAGAGGAAAAAAGGAAAGCGACTGTCTGATTGGAGGTTCGTTTCTTTTCTGCTGTAATGAAAATTTTCAATAGGGAATTGCTGAAGTAAATTATTGTGTATCCATCCAGATGGCGGAGTACTGCACAGCCCTTAAAAGTCACGTAGAAGAACATTAGACTAGAAAGAAAAATGCTCTTTGAACATTAAAAAAGGTTATAAAAGTAGTGAGTATTATGTAATCTCAATTTTGTTTTTTTTCTTTTAATATAGGTGTGTACTTGCATACATAAAACGATAAAAAGACTGAGGATATATTCCAAAATGTTAATAATAATGGTTATCTGTGGATGGTGGAATAAAGTAATTGTAATTCTTCTCTTTGGTTTTCCTGTAAGTTCCAAATTTTCTATATTACTTGTGTATGGCTTTCGAATAATAAATAAAATTTAAAAGAAAACAAAAAAGTAGTTGGAGGTATAACACTACCTGATCTTAAGGTATCCTTTGACACTTCAGTAATCAAGACGATGTGGTCTCAGCAAAAGGACAGACATAATGGAACAGACGGAGAGTCCAGAAATACACCCAGGCAAACGGCCACTGGTTTTGATGAACATGCAAAGGCCATTCAGTGGAGAAGGGACGGTCTTTTCAACAAATGGCGCTGGAGCAACTGGACATCTATATACAAAAAAATTAACCTATAACCTTCTTCTCTGCACAGAACTTACGTCAAACTGGATCACAGGCTAAAATGTAAAATGATCAAACTCTTAGAAGTAAACCATAGGATAAAAATCTTCATGACTTTGGTTTACACGAAAAGTCCTTAGATACAACACCAAAAGCATGATGTGTAAGAGAAAAGATTAATGTTATACTTCATCAAAATTAAA